TAACAAACCTGAATTAATATTGATATGATTTACAGAACTTATTTAAAGTTTGTTAAAAAAAATAATCTCCCAGGGGAAATTTTTGTGAAATTTGCAAAAAGATCAACAAGAGACTTAATACTTAAAGCATCCATAGCTACAACAGTCAAAATTCAAGGAGATAAAAATATTGAAAGATGTTCCATACGAAATATGCAAGAAAAGGAAGCAATACAGAAACATTACAGCATTTCTTCAAAAGAACAATGTCCAGTACAGATGGATTTTTCCAGAAGGACTTATATTCAACTTCTATGAGAAGAAGGAAAAGATTGACTCTATTAAAAGTAGAACTCTTTCTTAAACAACAACAAACCCCAATCAAACAAAGAAATGCAGCAGAGAAAGGGAAGGCAACGGAAAAAAACAGTGAACAACAGAAATTTGATACGGAGAGTTCATCTTCAACAGCTACTTCCATGTCTTTGGGTGAAATTTTTGACTCTGATTCCGACCTAGGAGAAGCTGTTCCCAAATCCTTTAAAGTAAATCTCCCCTGGCAAAAGAAGAAAAGTAAAGCTAAGAAGAAACCTAAGTGAAGATTTGAGATTGCCTGTGTTGACATTTAATGCATATTATTATCCAGATGCGTTATAATACCAAAAATGCCTTCATGTTTTTTCTATTTGAACACTTCTATTACAATTTAAAGAACTGAATGTAATTTCTATTATATAGACATATATCCAAAGCGTATGAATAACTTATCAAAGTACCTTGTTACTCTTTTGTAGTTTTAGTTTTGCAGTGTGTAGTAAGAAAATCAATAAAAAATTATATAAAAAAAACAAAGCCAATCAGAAACTACTGAGTTAGCTGAGCATTCTGTTAAAGGAAGCTGGAACTTAATGTGAGCTAAGCATTCTTAGTGCTTCATTAAGAATCTGTTTTCAGTGCCTGGGCTGTTGTGCTCTCATGAACAATTTTAAAAGCAAGAGACTACAGGTATCCTGTAAGAGAGCTTCCAAATTCTTGTTCTGCACATCAGCATCTTTAAAAATTAGGCAAGAGACAACCAAGAGAGCTGTTCTGTTCATATCAGAACAAGATCAGACTAGTGGTCCATCTAATCCAGGATACTGTTTCATGCAGCAGCCAATCAGTTGGGCTGGAGGGCCAACAAACATGCACAGAGGCCAAGGTCCCTGATGCTGACTCCTAGCACTAGTAGCCAGAGGTTTGCTACCTCTGTGTATGTACCCACTATTCTCCTTTTCTGCAGTCCAATGCAGATGAGGGGGACTATCTCACAGCATGACGTATCTTCTATCCACTTCCTCAAGTAATCCCACTGCAGTGACTAAATCTATGTGCTAGGTTTAGTCATAAAATCTCAAACATTCTCATTTTTCTACCTGTTTCAATGGAACTATGGGGGCAGGGAAGTAAATAATGCACACACAGTTCACATATCATGCATTTTTTAAAGACAGAATAAGTAACTGCAATAGTGATTCTGGAGCTTACACTGCAACCTAATGTGACTTATTATTATGGGAAGACGGTAGGACATTTAAGGGAGAAATCAACACTGAGCCCCAAAAAGCATCTCGAGATAAGTAAATTTTTCAGAGCTTAAGGGGTAGAAACTGATGACTATCTGGAGAAAACAAGTTCCACACTGAAAAGCTTGGTGGTTTAATTTCCCAGCAAGTTTAGGCACTACCACAAGACCTGAAAAGAATATGAAGTGTCTGAATACAGACTGGTTCCAAGGTCCGATCCTTGGAACATACACAGCCAGAACTAATAGTGTTCAAGATTTAAAAACAAGCAAGTTTTAGATTAGCATCTTCTACCCTCCCTCAAATATAAACCAGTAGTTGGTCACCTATGAATAGCAAAAGGGGCTTAATGTGAGTAACTATCCTGATCAAAGTGTTCAAGATTTTTTTGCAGTTCAGGGCAAGAGCACTCAGCAACAACACAAGTTACAATCACATTTTCAATATGGTTGCTGAACAGTACAGAAGTCCAAGATATGTAACATTATCTACTCAGCCTAAGAAATGAACACTGAGGCAGGGAGACAAGGAGACAGAATAATTAAGTACACAGTGTTCTCCTCATACTAATATAGCTAACAATTAGTTTGTTTTCTCTCGCTTTCCTACAGTCTGTTGGACATATGTAAACCAGCTGTGTGCATGTGTTGTAAATACTGTATTTCCCTCTCTCCCTTCTATTTTTGCACCATTCAGAGAGCCAGCCTAAACTGGTCTACTCTGCATCCTACTGAGTTCTATTCGATAGGGCTTAAACCCAGGAAAGTGTTACAATAGCATTGTTAGCATCCTACAAGTGAACTTCCCTCTCCTACATCCAGTGCTTCATCAAGTAAATTCCAGCAGCATCCCCAGACACAGATCATTTTTATCTATATTCTTCCAGAAAATGATTGGCAATTCAGGCAAATGAAGCCACAGCAAATCACCCAAGCCCCCATTCCCACACCCCTTCAAGGAAGCAGAGGTCAAACGGCTCAGGAGATCTCCCTCAAGAGCATTAATGGGGGTGAAGGAGAGTCAGGGAAATGAAACATTCCCTCTGCCACAAGGGAAGGACCAGCAGGGAGGTCTGAAGTGGGTGGCTGTATGTATCTGCGTGAGATTCTTCTTCACCCCTACACCACTGAACCACAGGTGGGACTGGGGAGGGGCATCCCAAGGGGGGGGGATACACCAGGGGCACAGACACAAAATCACCAAGTACGAGGGGAGGGTACTGCTCCTACTCCACAAATCTGTTATCCCTTAACATCCACATGTGCGACAGCAGTGGAAGAGTATTGTGGGTGGATTTTAGCCTACAAACACACAAGTATCAGAAGATGGATCCCAGAGAACAAGGACAATATTTTCTGTTACTGTTCCTATGCATTGCTCCTTCCTCCAAGACAATTCCAGGGGCACAGCCGTGTTCGTCTGTTGCAGCAAAATTAAACAGATGTCTAGCAGGACGTCTAACTTCTGGAAGCTTATGGTAGAATAAATGTTGTGAGTCTTCAAGGTGTGACTGGACTCCTGTTAAATCTTCCTTCACCAAAGGAACGAGGTTAGAGTGGCCACTTACTTTGCTAGGAAAAATCCCAGTGGGTTACTGCCCTGAGCCCCCCTCATCCTCAAGGTGGGGCCAGTTTAGAAGGAGCACAACAGCACCTGCCTTCGCTCAGGGGCCAGGTTTGGCCTGCAATGAGGAGCACAGGCATAGAGGTGCTCTGGTTGGCCAACAAGGAGGGACACACCCATAGCAGTGGTCCAGTTCAAACCTCCAGTTTTGCTCTGCAAGTAGGAACGTGGGTATGACATTCCCCTGGCTTTAGCCTCCAAGTCCAGGTGTCACATGGCAAGCAAGAAGGAGAGCCAGTTTGGTGTAGTGGTTAAGTGCGCGGACTCTAATCTGGGAGAACCGGGTTTGATTCCCCACCCCTCCACTTGCACCTGGCTGGATGACCTTGGGCAAACCATAGTTCTGGTAAGAGCTGTTCTCGAAAAAGAAGAGTTTCTGTCAAGAGCTCTCTCAGCCCCACCTACCTCACAGGGTGTCTGTTGTGGGGAGGGGAGGGGAAAGGAGTTTGTAAGCCGCTCTGAGACACCTTTGGGTAGTGAAGGGCGGGGTATAAATCCAATCTCTTCTTCTCCTTCTCTTTAGCTGGCTCCATAACCATCCATCAGCTGAAGGTGGTGTTGTGATGGGAGAGGGTGTGTCATTTCCCAAGGTGCTTTTGGCCTCCCAGTCCATCCCTTCAAGGAGCTCATCCTTGGGCTCCCAGTCCATCCCTACAAAGTCTCCCCTGCTTCATTTTATTTTCATGGCTACCGTATGCAGGAGGTTAAGCTGAGAGAGAGAGAGAGTTCACACAAGGAGCTTCAGAGCCCAGCAGGGAATGGAATTTAACCCAAAGTGCTGCATCACATTGGCTCTACAGTCTCAGGAACGCATCATCTGGCAGGGAGGACGGAGGATGCTCCTGTGGAACATTTTTGCCACAAAGGGTAATGGTTGCCATTATGACACAGAGATGAGAATATCGGTGTGGAACTGGGAAACCCATGTTCAAATCCCCACCTTGCCTTTAAGCATCCTAGGTGACCTTAGAACAACTATTCTGTCTGAACCTAATATACCTCCCATAGTGGCTGTAAGTTGAGGATGGGGAAATGATGTAGGATGCTCTGGTTTGACTGCCAACCTCCAGGTGGTAGCTGGAGATCTTCTGGGATTACAACTGATCTCCATGTGACAAAGATCAGTTCACCTAGATAAAACAGCCAGGTTGAGAGCCAGTTTGGTGTAGTGGTTAAGTGTGCGGACTCTAATCTGGGAGAACCGGGTTTGATTCCCCACTCCTCCACTTGCACCTGGCTGGATGACCTTGGGCAAGCCGTAGTTCTGATAAGAGCTGTCCTTGAAAAAGAACAGTTTCTGTCAAGAGCTCTCTCAGCCCCACCTACCTCACAGGGTGTCTGTTGTGGGGAGGGGAAGGGAAAGGAGTTTGTAAGCCCCTCTGAGACACCTTTGAGTAGTGAAGGGCGGGGTATAAATCCAATCTCCTATGACGTTATACCCCACTGAAGTCCCTCCCCTCCCAAAACCCTGCCTCCTCAGGCTCCACCCCCAAAACCTCCAGCTATTTCCTAACCTTGAGCTGGCAACCGTACATTCTGGGCCCACACTGAGCAGGCTATGTTTACAGACAAAGAGTCATTCCGACTTCACGGGGGGGGAGAGAGAAAGGGAGAAAGACTCCCCCCTCCCTTCCCCAAGTCAGCGAGAGAGAGAAAGGGACGGCGACTGATAGAAACCTCCCCAGGCTCCAGGACAAGGACGAAGGAGGCAGCCACAAGCTGTGAGCTGCGGCCTAGGCCAAACGGGCAGCCTCCCTCCCTCCTTCCTTATACCCCCAAATAACACCCCCCGGGGCTCACACTCTCGCGGTAGTGGGGGCGCTCACTCGTTACCTTTTAGGTGCTGCCTGCTCCATTCTGCGGCCGGCGGCTGCCGAGATATTATCCCCCCCAGCAGGACAAGGTGTGTTTTATCACCCTGACAGGACCTAGTCAAACCCCGCCGTAAGAAACTCGGCACAACTTTCCTCCACTTCTGCTGGACCTTTAACGGGGACCAGCTTCCTCCTGTTCCCCCTCCCGGACTTCCACACTAAGACACAAGAACTAACTTGCTACTCTACAGTACCGCCCTCCCTATCATTCTATTGGCTGCTAATGGAGAAGGCGAAGCTGTCGTTGGTCATTGAAGAAGCCAATCGGAACCTCCTCCCCCAGAAGACGGAAGAGAAAGTTGCTAGAGGCCGGGTGCGTCAGGCATCTCTAGTCGCGTTGCGTCACGAAACATCATGTGACTAAGGGGCGGGGTGCAAAGGCGCCAGAAAGGGAAGAGTTTTTTTCTTGTTCGTCGTGCGTCGCGCTATTATGAGTTTGTTTTGTATGCGGAAGGAATGCATATTGGGTTATGTAGTTTTCTGACTATGGGACAGTTTTCCTCATGGTATTGTTGTAGTGAGGTGGAGGTAAGAACAAACCTAACATACACATCCAGCTGCAGCATTATAAGTAAATTGCTGCTTAATACGGCTGTTGGTGCTATGCAGAAATCATTTCCTCCCCTGAACATAGCCGAGTTAGAGAGAGGGCAAACTTTATGGTATTACCCCTTCCCAAATTCTCCCCTTCACAGGCACTGCCCCCAAATTTCCAAGAAGTTCCCAGCATAGAGTTAGCAGCCCTAACTCTTCCCCATAACACGGGGGGAGGCTAAGAAAACTGCTTTTCTAATCTTCCACATACATGATAGTTCTATGGAATTGTCTCTTTAAGAAAAAATTGGTAACACTCCACACGGCATGCACACACGACACGTGCATGAACACGAAAGCCTATACTCATAACTTTGTTGGTTTTAAAGGTGCCACTGGACTCAAACTTTGTTCTGTCACATTCTGTTTTATTTATTTACTTATCCCTCCCCAATGGGGGTCCAAAGCAGTGCAAGCTTCCATGGCAGGGTGGGGACTGTAGGGTTGCCAACTCCAGGTTGGGAAATAGCTGGAGATTTTGGCGGCTGAGTCTGAGAAGGGACTTCAGTAGGGTATACTGTAATAGAGTCCACCTTACAAAGTGGTCAGCTCCAGGTGAACAGATATCTGTCAGTCACCTGGAGATCAGTTGTAATCCCAGGAGATATGCAGCTACCACCTGGAGGTTGGTAACCCTAAGAGTCAGACCTGGGTCTCCCAGATTGCAGTCTGACACTTTAACCACTGCGCCACACTAGCTCGAGCCACAACCCAGAGAATATTCCTGTTTCTCTAACAACCCTGCAACAGGGAGACAGAAGATTTCAGAAGCTTCTCCTACCGCAGGTTATCACTTTTCTTGTCCACCCACCCATTTATTGGGAAATGAAATGATATTCTGCACAATCTGGCACAGTGATGCTCGATCTTTCCAGATTTGGGACCCAGGAGGCAACATGGGACCCACTGAGTTTCAAGCACATGACAAGAAATAACATGATATCACAGTCATTTGACATCAGAAGGTACAGTCTTCTCTGCTGCCCCAGGCTCCATGTTGGGTAGGGTCTGCCCACCCTGAAGGGGAAAGGAGAAATAGCGCAGGTTTCTGCTGCCACATATGCCTGCCTGCCCCATTTGTAGGGCTGCCAACAGGTAGGGGCTAGAGATCTCCCGGAATTACAGCTGATCGCCAGACTACATACATCACTTATTCATTCATGCATGCATGCATTCATTCATTCATTCATTCCACTTCTCCTGGAGAAAATGGCTGCTTTGCAAAGTGGGCTGCATAGCATTACATCCTACTGAGCTCCCCCCAACCCATCCTCCCATGCTTCACCCTCAAATCTCCAGGTATTTCTGAGCCTCGGGTTGGCAACCCTACCCATCTGGGGTTTGAGCAGCAAACTTACGGCAGTGGCTGTGGCTCCCACCCACTCCGCATGGGCTGAGGGCACCTCCTTGCATGGGGTGGCAGTGGGATAGCAGTGATTCTGGAAGCTCATCTTGGACTTTTGCTCAGGGCCCCAGAATCACTGACAGTGCCCCGGACATCACAGTAATGTGACAGGAACATGCAAAGCCTTGCTTATGATAAAAAGGAATCTTCTCCACTGCTGAGTAACCTCATGTTACTGTCTTGCCTGCTTCCGTGTGCAGAAGGAAGTGTGAGGCCCTTGCTGCCTGTATGTGTTCACTGGCAAAAGGTCCTCCCAAAATGCAGCAAAAAAATAATAATAATAATTGATGGTTCTGCAGGGCCTTCTTACAACTCAGCAGGTGGGGTTCCTTGACCCACCTGAGGGTCCCAACCCATGAGATGAAGACCACTGACCTAGCAGATGAGACTGGAGAGGGAGTAAAGAAAGTAAGATTGGGAAGGGAAAGCTACAAAACCATTTTCCAAAAAGCAAAGATCTCCAAGATGGTTCTATCATAACAAGTTCTGTAGTACCTCTCATGGTCAGCTTTGAAAAAAACAGGGAGGGGGGAATGAAGTGTTTGTGAAATATGTTGCTACAGGAGTAATCCCAAATACTTCGAAATAAAGATTAAGAGAAAATCCATGTGCCGTCATCATGGATATGAAATACAATGCCAGGATTAGAACAAAGTTTGAGTCCAGTGGATTTGTTCTGCTGCTTCAGACTGCCCATCTGAATGCCAGGATTACACAGAATTGTTGCATAGCCAGGAAATTTCCAAACAGCTACCGGCACTGCAAATAAAAACAGGCTTTTTGTACCAGTTCCCCCTTTATTGAGCAATAACCATATCAACCGAGAAAGAGAAAAACAATTGATATAGTACAACTGAGTTTAAATATATCATGTACTTACATTGATCTGTGTAGAGGTATTAATATTTCCTGTTCTCTCACAGAGGTGAAGGGAAAACTTTGACTAAAAAGCCAACAGTTTATCTAGGAGATACAGAAATCTTACTTCTTCCTCTGATTTTGTATTCTTGTCAGAAGGGAGAGTATCTGACAGTACTGTCCAATATAAAATGACCTTGCAAGGGAATTTATGTCTTTAACCTTGTTGATCGTAAATACATTAAAAATAAATCAGATGTTGTAGGCATCACCCTTTAATACAGGGCACCAGATTTAGATTGAGTGGAAGCAAACTATTAAAGAAGCATAAACTAAAATGGATTATGTCATGCCATGGTTGCACATCAGTATGTATTGAACAGATAGTACACCAGTATGATTATTGATATACTGTTTTAGAGACAGCCCAACTCAAAAGCAATAATGGCTCTGTTTTTCCATGCCACACTATGCGTGACTGACAATATGCAAAGTACCCCACAATCTAGACCTGAAATGTTTTATTTAATTAAATTGAAAAATTTAAGATTGTACCCTAAAATGTGTTGGTGCAATTTCTGTCATTTATGAAAGGAAATATTTCCAGACTAGTAGCTCTGAAAATAGACACTTCTTGATCCAGATATGTTAACAAATCTCAGAGGTCCCCTTATAGCAAGATCCACTTTGGCTGCTGAATGCCTTTCCCCAAGGCTGTCTACTATGTGTGTGAACCCTCTTTCTGCTGCTGTGTAGAACCCTGGATCCAAAAACAGATGTATAATTTATTTATTAGATTTATAAGCAGCTTTTCCCAAAGTCCAAAGCAGTGAACGAAAACTGTTAAAGAAAAAAACCCCGCAAAGAAAGCATAAAACATCAACAATTTTTCAATAACGCAAGTAATAATTTTAAAACTGTGGCAGTATCACAAGCAGAGACCTGGTGGGGAAAGTGTATCCTTGCTTGGAAGTGGAAATCCCACAAAGGTGTTGTCTGGCAGATAGGCACAAATGCCACCACTGACAAGACCCTGCTCTAGGTTTCTATTCATCTAACCTGGCAGATATTAGCAGCAAGAAAGGATCAAATAGAAGACGACTTTTCACCTAAGCAATTCAAAATGTAAACTTCTATACTGACCATGGAAGCAAATGATAGGATTACAGATTACAGTAAACACTGAACTAGGTTATCCAAGAGTGGATGACTATGACCAGGCCCTTCTTTTCCACACAGAGGCACAGGCAGAACACCAGGCAAAGTTGACTGAAATCTCTGCTGGCTACAAGCACAACTGGAAAATCCAGTAGGAAAGTCAGACCAAGGATCACTTCTGGATGAGCAGTATCATTCTGCCCTAGAATTGGATTCAGCTGTTAGAAGCAGGGCTATTTTTGGGCAGGAACCCACAGGAACGGAGTTCCGGCTGGCTCCTGAGTTGGCCACGCCCAGCAGGAACTCATTAGCATAATAGGCCACACCCAACAGCAGAAACTCATTAGGATTGGCTACATTAGGGGTGTGTGGCCTAACATGCAAAGAAGTTCCTGCTACAAAAAAAGCTCTGGGTTTTGACAACAAACAAGGTAAACAGAATAAGAAGCAAAAGCTTGGTGTGGCTGGATGACCACACTTCTGGTAACACGTGGGTGTGGCCTAATATGCTAATGAGTGGTGCTGTCAGGGGTGTGGCCCAATATGCTAATGTGTTTCTGCTATTGGGTGTGGCCTATTATGCTAATGAGTTCCTGCTGGGCTTTTTCTACAAAAAAAGCCCTGGTTAGAAGTATATTAAATTCTTTATTTCCATCAGAGCTGAATACTGGAATGCCTCTGATCATGCGCAGAAAGAGGCTCCTTCCTGCTCAGGACCTCTAGTGAAGGGTAGCTTTCGCTGAGGGGCCATTTGAGATAACCAACCAAAGGTTTCCCCATCCTATTGCTGCACAGCTCGGTCCATTTTCCATTTGCATCAAATAGGTTTTTGTTAAGAAGTTGGAATTACTTGAGAACTTCCCTTCAGTGTTAGAAACTCACAGCTGCCAGCAATGCAGGATGGAAATTTGACACAGGCTAGGCTGAAGGCGATAGGGATTAGAATGGATGGTGTTAAGAAAGCCTTATCCTGCTGAGCAGACTATGCCACATAAATCAGCCCAAAGCCTTGGCTAAGTTTTCCACTACAAATGATATGCAGTGCAGTCGTCCCATCCCCCCCCTGTCCCCCACCACTATCAGTAGTGGCATCTTGCTTACTCATATAGAGGCACCAGATGTTTCCAAGAGGCCCAAAGGGAAAGTGGGAGATGAC